CCCCCCCCCCCCCCCCCCCCCCCCCGGCCTACTGAACGGAGCCGGGAGCCTCGGCACTTCAGGCAGCCCAGCCCCCACCTTCGGCGGCCGGCACAGGGTCCCTGCCGCCCGCCCTTGAAAACGCCTGGCTAAGAGCCTCCGGGTTTTGCGTCAGGAGCGGAAGAATGACCCCCTGTCCACGGGGGGCCTGACCGCCGCCCCCAGAGGACTTGACCCCCCACGGATCGCGCACAGCCTGGCCCCCAGGCGAAGCGTACGAACAAGTCCAGTCCCGCGAGGCGCGGTGGACGCCGGATGCTGGCCTGGGGCGGCGGGGGGTGGGGGGGGGGCGGGAATGGCAAACAGGTAACCGGAAGCGGTTTAAAGCTTGACCGGCCCGAGGAGGAAGGGTTGGGGGTGAGCAGGCTGGGCGGACGGACCGCGCTGTGAAAGGGCAGCTTCCCGAGCGAGGGCCCGGCAGAGTCCCCCCTCCGGACCGTCGGGCCCCGTCCGGCCGGAAAGTGCCGCGTGCGAGCGGGAATTCGCTCAGAAAGCCAAGAAGGGGTTCAGTGAGAACCCGGGGCACCCAGGACGCAGTGGGGGGGGGGTCGGCCGGGAAGGCAGGACGTGGGCGGGTCGAGAGGCTGGGGCGCGACGGCACGCGGGCCGTTCAGTCTGTGATCGGAGGCGCTGGGTCCCCCCACAGAGGAGACCACCTGGGTGCCTGAGCGGCGGGAAGCACCCTCGAGTTGTCACCTGTCCCCTTCAGACAGCACACCCTCACCCACAGAGCACTGTCTACACTTCATTCCCCCAGGAGCCCCCAGGCGGTAACAGCGTTCTGGAAGCCGCGGTTGCCGAGCCGTGTCCTGGCCTGGAAGCATCCGAGGAGCCGCTCCGACGCTGCTCTGCACATGTCCCCCCCCCCCCCCCCCCCCTCCGCGTCTCAGCGGCCCAGCCGTCACACCCCCCGCACGCTTCCGCTGTCCTGGGCTGGGGCTCAAGGACAGCTTCGGGGGGGCTGTGGGGGAGACGCTGGCAGAAAAGCGGAAGCGGGGCTCCTGGAGGCCTGGCCTCCGACCTAGTGAGGTCCTCACCGCGGCCCTTGTGCAGGGGCCTGGGACCCGCTCCCACGGCCGCCTGTCACACAGCCGCCGTAGGGCGGCCTCACCGCCGTCCACAGTGAAACTAAAATGGCCGGATGTTTAACCGGCAAGGATGAGATTATTCAGGAAGGGCAGGGAGTTGCGATTCAGGACACGCAAACCGCGCACGTGTGTGAGAACGGAGGAGGAGGCTGTCCTTTCACAGAGGAGAGGGCGGGTTAGGCGAGGCGGTTCCCAACAAGAGTTCATTGGCGGAGCCTAGCGTTCCGGTTGTGGCGGCTTCTCATTGGCTGAGTTGTGGCGGCTTTTCATTGGCTGAGTTGTGCTGGCTTTATCACTGGCTGAGTTGTGCTGGCTTTATCATTGGCTGAGTTGTGGCGGCTTTTCATTGGCTGAGCTGTGGCGGCTTTTCATTGGCTGAGCTGTGGCGGCTTTTCATTGGCTGAGTTGTGGTGGTTTTATCATTGGCTGAGTTGTGGCGGCTTCTCATTGGCTGAGTTGTGCTGGCTTTATCACTGGCTGAGTTGTGCTGGCTTTATCATTGGCTGAGTTGTGGCGGCTTTTCATTGGCTGAGTTGTGGCGGCTTTTCATTGGCTGAGTTGTGCTGGCTTTATCACTGGCTGAGTTGTGCTGGCTTTATCATTGGCTGAGTTGTGGCGGCTTTTCATTGGCTGAGCTGTGGCGGCTTTTCATTGGCTGAGCTGTGGCGGCTTTTCATTGGCTGAGTTGTGGTGGTTTTATCATTGGCTGAGTTGTGGCGGCTTCTCATTGGCTGAGTTGTGACGGCTTTTCATTGGCTGAGCTGTGGCGGCTTTTCATTGGCTGAGTTGTGGTGGCTTCTCAGCGGCTTGGCTTGTGGCAGTTTCTCATTGGCTGGGCTGTTGCCAGGCAAGAACAAAACCCTTTTTGCCATCCAGCTCATACAGGAAGCTGCTGGAAGTGGTAGTGAGTGAGAACGTCTCCTGCGTTGCTTCCCAACTGTATAGGGAACTAGGCTTTCCTTATTCATAGTGGCACCTACTGGATACACTGCCGGCTGATGGGCCTCAGCGGGGGTGGCGGGGCCCAGGCCTTGGGTCTGGCCTTGCCCTGTGGCCTTGCTCCCTGAGGAAGGACCACGCTCCTTCCCTGAAGCCACGCCCAGTCGGATGGACGCTGCGCCTTCCCTGGGGGCCCGAGCCTGCGAGCAGGACAGGCGCAGGCGTGTGTGGCTGGGGGCGGTGCGGGCCCCGGGTCACGGGGCCCTGGGGCCACGCGGGGAGCCAGCCTCCTGCCCCGGGTCACGGCTCTGCGCGCAGACCTGTCGCGCGCGCTCTGCAGGGTGGAGGGCTTTCGGGGCAGGGGGCGTCTGGCTCCGCGCGGGGCCATGAGCGGGGCCCGGGGCAGCGCCCTCTCCCGTCACTTTGTCCCGGGGCGGATGACCTTCTGCAGAGGAGCTGCGGGAGCGCGTGTAGCCTCCTGGCTCTCTTCCTCGTCCCGACCCCGCGTGCGGCGGTAAAATACATACGATTTATCATCAACCATTTTAAATGTGCAGGGACGTTAAGGACAGCTGCCTTGTTCCGCAGCCGCCACCACCATCCAGGTCCCTGTAATCTTCCCAGACTGACACTCTGTCCCCGTTACACACCAGCTCCCGGTGTGCCCCCCTCCCCCCAGCCCCTGGCGGCCACCCTTCTACTTTGTCTTTATAATTGTGATTTATATAACAAGAAAGGAAACGAACTTCCGTCCATTTTTTGTTGACAAAATGTAAAAGACGATGGTGGTAATTGAGTACAGTTCTTTCGTAAAGGAGAGGAAGAGCGGCTGCGGCCGGGACCCTCCGGGAGCTCCGCGCGCTGCGTCAGAAAAGTGTTCACTCCGTAACCCCGAGCGCAGCAAGGGTGGCAGGGGCCTCCGGGCCGAGCTCAAGACGGGCCGACACCGGGCGCCCAGAGCCCGGGGCCAAGAGTGCTGTCATCGGTCCAGAGCCTGCGGTGTTGACTCGCCTTCTCCTTGTCTTCCCAACGGCTGTGCTTCTGGAACTTTCAGAGTGCTTAGAAGTCACCTAGCGCAGGCTCCAGGTGATGCAGGTGTGCTGGCCCAGGGGCCACATTTGGGAGAAGCAAGGCCCCCTTCCATCGGAGGGCGCTTGATGCCCAGGCCGGGCGGAAGTTCTCTGAGGTTGTAAAAGTCCAGGGCCAACTCCTTTTTTCTTTCTTCTTCTTCTTCTTTTTTTAAATCACTCAATGTATTTAAAAAGAACTAAAGAGATGTCAAAGCAGTTACAGAAATATTGACATATTTTAAATGTTCACACTTTAACAAGTTCATGACTTTATCAGGCCCGCACAGATGCAATGCGGCATGAATGTGCCCGTTGCAATATGAATTCCTGGAGCACATGAGTGTGTGGTCGGGGAATGGGACACAATTTTAAGCTTTTACTGTGGTCCTTTTTCTCCGGGGCTGAGTATGTGACAGATGGTGTTGAAGGGTCTGTCGTGGGGGCTCCTTGAGCACGAGGTCAGCTGGCGGTCGCAGGCTCCCATGCACAGACCTAAGCGAGTGAAGCCCGGCGACCAGAAGACCTGGCCTTTCCCACAGGGCCCGCTGTCCTTGTCCTGATTCGGGGACTGCCTCCTTCCAGATGATTGTACCAAGGAGCGTCTCATTCCTCCAGGAAATTCTTACCCTGCTTCATCCACAGAGGTGTGGGCTCACTCCGTGGCCTTAATTGGCCACACGGTAGCCCACGTCACAGGGAGCGGGGAGATTCATGCGGAACACGCCAGGAAGGGCACCTAGTGACTGGGGGGGGCGGGGAGCTAAGGGTGCCACCCTGTCACTCTCCAGGGGTGAGTGGGATCTGGCCCCATGTGCATAGGACTCCTTTTAAGGAATCTCGGGAGCCAAGACTAGCTGCTCCAAGACTTCCCAGACCCTGAGGTCGGCTTCTTTCCTGAAGGTCCCGTGTTTACAGACGGGACGACTTTGAATTATAAAAATTCTCACTTCAGGAAAGGAATTCTAACACTATTTCTTTGACTAAGAAGCCGGTTTAGCTTACTTATTATCAGACTTACAACCCAGGCCACCGTTGTTCACCCACCTACCCAACAGACATACACACTTATTCTCGTCAATCCTTGGAACTTAATTCGGTTCGGCTGATGCATAGTAGGCCTCAGTGAACGAGTGAATGAAGAGCAGTCCTGTGAGGCTCGAATGTCACAGCTGTGCCGGTGATGGCCCCGTGATCCGCGGGGGACAGTGCCTTCCTAAGCAGTGCAGGCATGCCAAGACTTAATGGGCCAGGTCACACCTCTGAGCCAAGACTCTAGTAGGGTATCTGCCCTCCCCGACACACCTGGTCCTGCCATTTTGTTCAGTGGAGGATCTGTTTCTCTGGTGAGTCATCGAAGCCACAGCACCAGGCGAGTTATCCTCTGTGGGCATGGGAGTGCCGTGCCGTCCACCCCTGGGCGCTGTGGTTGCTGTCAAAGCCCACACTCACCTAGGTCATACACACCATGGGCACTGTCCCCTCCCAACTGTCCCCCTCCGGCCGGGACAATTACAGCTACCTCAAGTGTCCCCATTTGGAAGCACTCAGCAGTGCCTGCCCATCCAATTTCCCAGGCCAGCTGCGCAGATTCCTTAGTAAATCGGTTGGCACGACACCAAAGCCTTTCAGCCTTTAAAATCACTTTCTCCCAAGCCAGAGCTCGGTGGCGGCTCACCTGGTTGTGTGACTGGCCTGTAGACTGCCGCTTCCTCTGTCTCTGAGGCTGGTAAACAACTCGGCACTTCCTGGTGGACCGAGAAAGTGGGCCTCTGTTTAAGGATAAGAGCATCATTTAGACATAATCAAGGATGCAGAAGAGACTTGGTCGTGGACAAAGACAGAGCATTTCTAAACCAGCCATTGCTCTCCGAATGTGGGAGACTCTCTTCCCACAAGGCTGGGATTGTTCGGCTCTCAAAGAAATCAATTAGCTGGGGCATGAGTGAGAAAGGGCTTTGTGATCAGAGGGTATGCTTGCAATACACCCGCAAGCAATCAATGTTACCTCTTTCTCAGTGAGGAGCCAGACACTCGCATAAACTCCTAGGGCCGTGAAATAAACACAGAAGTTAAATGATGAAAAAAGAAAACTGCTAAAAACAAAGGCATGTGAATGCATTTTTAATCCTCAGAAAGCTAATGTGTTGATGTAGTTTGACCTCCAACTGGTACGTGATAAATGGCAATCAAAACTTCATGAAAGAGCATGTTCCTATAGAATAGAAGCATATTGGTAAATATGAGTAGGCGGAAGAGGGGGCCGTGGGTGAAGAATCCCAGACCCAGCTTGTCCAGTGCCTCAATGAGTCGTTTTCCTTGCAGCAAAAATAACCAACTCAAAATGGCTTAAACAGTAAGGATACTCCTTTTCTTTCTTTTTTTAAGTTTATTTATTTTTGAGAGAGAGAGCGAGAGAGAGCTGGGGCAGAGAGAGAAGGGGAGAGAATCTGAAGTGGGCTCAGCACAGAGCCAGATGCGGGGCTCGAACTCACGAACTGTGAGCTCATGACCTGAGCCGAAGGCAGGTGCTTAACCGACTGAGCCACCCAGGTGCCCCAAGAATATTTATTTTCTATGTAACCGGAAAGTCCAGAGGGAACAGGCTTCCAGGCTGGTAGGTCCACTCCCAGCCCCAACTTCTGGTGGCCTCCCCTCCGCCACCCTCAGCCTCGGCTCGGCCCCAGCACTGCTGTTCGCCTTCCCGCCTCCCTCCGCTGACTTGCTGGAGTGGCGTGCGTTCGCTAATTGGCTGCAGAGGTAAAGACGGATGTAGGGGCACAGGGGCGTACACTGAACCCCAGCCTGCCTGAGAGCTGCGCATCTGGGGCAAGATGCAAGCCTCTTACGCACCAGCCTCGTAATGTGGAGAAGAAGAAGAAGGAAGGAAGGAAGAAGAAGAAGGAAGGAAGGAAGAAGAAGGAAGGAAGGAAGAAGAAGGAAGGAAGGAAGAAGAAGAAGGAAGGAAGAAGAAGGAAGGAAGGGAGGGAGAAGAAGAATGTCTGTGTTCAGAGATTGTAGTGAGGTTTAAGACAGATGCTGAG